TCGGCGCCGCGCACCCTGCTGGCTATTCGGACGCGGACCGGGGAGGAGGGGCGTGGGGGCGATTACCATATATTAGCATACCGGCGCTAATCACGTGCCAACTCCAGCCAATGGTCACTCGGAGGAGGCGGGGATTGGACTGAACACGCCTGGGTGCTGCTCTCAGCCTGAACCGGTGGCCATGGCAACGACTGGGCGGGCGGGGGTGTGGGGAGGCGCTGGAACCCAATGGCCCCCCGGGAGCATCCCTTCTACCTGAGCTCCGCTCGGCAACATTGCATACTTTTCCCAACGAGCAGATGGAGAGTGACTGAATTTGTCTTATCCGGAGAGATTCACGTTCAGCAAACACTCACTGAGCACTTACCACGTGCCTAACACTTTTCTGTAGAATGTGATTCTCTGGGTAACCCTATGATGTCTGTACTATTAACCTCACTTGATAGAGAAAGCGGAGGCTCAGAGGTTAGATCACTCACTCTGATTCACACAACCACACTAGATGGCGAAAGAGGAGATCTGAACTCATTTCTGACTGGTGGCCAAGGACTCGCCTGAGTTGTTTTCTCCAGCAGGGGTCTCCCAGCACCTCCTCACAATTCGAGATAGACTAAGAAGTTGAGAAAATGCTCATACATAATATGTACAGTGCTTTACTGTTTGACTTTTGAGTATGGTAGGCAGAATAGTTTTATGTCCATATTGCAGATTAGGGGAAATAGGCTCAGAGGGGTAATGTGACATGCCTTGGGTCAAACAGCTATTAAGAGCTAATACTTAATTACCAATATTTCTGTCAAGCTCACTACTTTAGAAACTTTTCAATTCAGTCTTCTCAACACAGTAGAATTGCTATGACCACTGTATGGATTAAGAAACTGAGACTTTGGGAAATTAGGCAAATTTGCCCAAGGTTACACAGCTAGTAAGAAGCAGATTTAGGGTTCAAATCCAAGCTTATTTTGTTCCAAAGCTAGACTCGTGTAGTCTCATTGTACCAGGTTTATTTAATTTAGGATTGGACTTTAGACCTCATATTTAATAGAACTTTCTGTCCTCTCAAGATATGACTGTGTTATCTCTTAATCCTACTGCAAATATATCATGAGATAAGTGACAGGTGTTAAGGTCACAGAGCTAAATGTTAAAAGAGAACAGAGTCACCAGGTAGGTAGGGGCACTCTAGAATTCTCCGTCTGTGCATATAGACTTGTTTTGGCTCAGTGCTCTCTAACTTAATGTATTTATGAATTACTGGACAGGACTCTGCATCAAACCAAATATACTAAACTTTATAGGCATTTAAAGGAATTATCAAAGTAATTTTGAATATATGCACATTTCATCTTACTTGACTGACTTAAAACTCAATTTCCTCCTAAATTGACTGGTATTTAAGAGCACAAATGAAGAAGCAGACCTACTTGGGTTAAAATCCTGACTTGGTCACTCATTGGCTATGTGACCCTGGGCAAGTTACTTACTTACCCTCTCTGTGCTTCAGTTTTTTCATTTGTGAAATAGGAGAGGAATGTTGTGAGAATTCAATGAGTTAATGTCTAAAAAATGTTCAGTATAGGCCCTGGCCCAGAATAAACCCTTCTTAATTGTTAACTATTGTCATTTCTGTTATTGTCCCAGAAGCATTCCTAGGAACAGACAACCCACGTGTACAGAATCTCTCAAGGCTTACTAGCTGGCTTCGGAATTCTGAAGCTTCCCCTGATCCCTCGTAGCATATTAAACAGCCTGTTGTGCTGGTGAAAGCTTGTTATCTCTCCAAATGACATTCTCTCTTCTTGGAATCATAAATTATTCCTGGACTCAAAGGAGTTGGTTTCTCTTGCACATCTCCTAGCACCAAATTACCAGAGTGGCTCCATGCAGAAGGGATCTTGACAAACAGTGAAGCCATAAGTCAGGCTCCTTGAAACACTTTTATGAGTGCCTTAATGAGGGAGATGAGCTGTCATCAGGAACTCGGCTAGTCCTTCCTGGCCACAGGAAATGAGCTCTTTGTGCTCAAAAGGTTTCCAAAGCTGAAGCGCAAAGAGTTTTCAGGAAGTGGGCCAGGGATGAGAAGCTGTTGACTAGGAGAATCCTGGGGTTAAACAGCCCCCATCCTGCCATTCACCCTATAGCATCAAATGACTCATGGCTTATTGCAGTAATAGCACCTTCAATCAGACAGTGTCTGGCAAAGGGTGGCTTGTATGTGGGGGAGTTAATCCTCCCTTGTTCCCCATGATGTCTACACTCCATCAGCCAACCCACCATCCCTCCCCTCAAAATAGATGCCTCAGTATAGAACAGTGATTAAGAGCATTGTCTTTGGAGCTTAAAAACCATATCTGAATTCTGATTCCATTGTGTGACTATTTGATATTAGGGAAGGTGCTTAATATCTGTGTATTAATATCCAAATCTGCAAAATATCTGTGTATTAATATCCAAATCTGCAAAAAGATGAGAATAATAACAGTGCCCATCTTACAGGCTCTTGTTAGAATTAAATGAGTTACCAACACAAGGTGCTTAGAACACCCTGTAGTATACACTAGATGTATTTGCTAATCAAACAAAAATAAACATAAGTCTGGCACAAAAACTGTACTTTCTACAGAGGTAACTGCGGCCTTAAGTGAAGTGCCTTGGACCCTCTCCCAAGTGTGTAATTGATGCCCTATAACCCCTTCTGACTTGTGCTCATATAAATGCTGCTCAGGAATAGGAAGAATGTGGGATTGGAAGTTCTAGTTTGCACCTGGCTTTGTCATATTCTTTCCTCTGTGTACTTGGCCAAGTTATTTTACATCTCTGAGGTATAGTTTTTTTTATTGGTGAAATGAGACTTTCTCCTGCAGTAGTTCTGAGCCTTCAATCAGACAGTGTCTGGCAAAGGGATGATGAGGACCTGAATGAGACAGAGGTCATGTTTAATGAAACTCACCATGCTCTATTACTAAGCAGTTACTGGTGAATGCCTTTGCTCCACAATAATGAAAATAACTAACATTTATTGAGCACTTACTCTGGTCTATATGCATCATCTTATTTAATCCTCACAATATGCTTAAGGCCCCAAGAGATGAAAGTAACTTGTCCAAGATCACAATGGAAGTCAGTGGCAGAGCCAGCATTCAAGCCAGGACTATCTGATTCCCAAGTCCATGCTTATAGTCCACCATGCTCCATACAGGCCTCCATCTCCAGCTTGGCTCATAGGACTCGGGGAATGTGTGTTATGTTTCTTTAGCATTCCTTCCCAATGCCTGACATAGTAGGTATTCCATGCATATTTCCTGAATGAGTAAAAATAAGTGACTATGACAATACTCTTATATTGATAAAAGCCCATTTTTCTTCCCTGGTTGGAAGAATAACAACTAGAAACCACCCCCGTCCATCATTCCCCCCGTCCCGCATCCTCTTCTTGCTAAATAATAATGTGGAAGGCCTCCTTCTTTGCCCCATGAGGAAGTTAGGCATCTTGGTGTCAGAGGTCCACAGTAGACACAGTGATGACTCATCTTCAATGCACATTTGGAGAGATGTCAAGTCCCCTGGAGCTTTGTAGGACTCTGTTAACATGCAGGAATATGGTGACTTCCAATAATGACCTTGGATAGATATACTCATTTGCTGGGACTGCCCTAACAAAATACCACAAACTGGGTGGCTTAAAATAATGTAGATTTGTTCTCTCAGTTCAGGAGGCCAGAAGTCTGAAATCAAGATGTTATCCGGGTTGGTTCTTTCTGGGGGACTCGGGAGGGAATCT